ATTTTGTGTTTGACGGCTGATTGACTGGCTGTGTCCCTATACTTGTGTAAATTCGGGTTATACTGTATGACATGTTTGCTGTCTACATGCACAATGTAACTACACTTGTAGTTGAGGTGATTTGTGTGTTCAGAGCATTTACACGGTTTTCAGTCAGCCAACTTTCCCCAGTTTACGAGATGTGTTTAACTGTTTGGTTGATGTGTGAAAGATTGTAACCTGCATGAAAAGTCTTATTAGCAGGACAAAAATGTGTTTTGTAATGTTTTTTCATGATGTTGATGTATTGATGGTTTTTTTTCCCAGGGTACATCAAATAAAATAAACAAAACTATTGAAACATATCAATAAGAGGAAACATTTAAAAACCTGTAGATGGAGAAAGAAATTGGAAAAACCTGCCACAATAATTACAAAATGTAGTTTTGTTAAATAAGTTTGCTTCCTTTGATTATGACCTTAGAGTGTCAAAACATTTGTAGATCAAAGAACAACTTTATTGTGGGACTAAAATATAAAAGACAACCTATCATATACATACAGCTGATATGCCTGTGTGTGTGTGTGTGTATATTTTTAAACCATTCAAATATGTTTCACACCCATTTCACATCTGTGTGTTGGCTTTTAAAACAACATGCATGAGACATCGTAAAAGTGCTAATAATAATAATAATAATAATAATAATAATAATAATAATGCAAACATCTGGTGATGAAGCTCAAGTGATAAGATCAAAAGCCCCAGATCAGCTACTAAATGGACCTTATGGTGTGATTGTTTTCTCCAGTGGCTTATTAGTGGTAAGTGAATGTAACTGTAAGTCACATAACCACTGTTTGGGAAGGGGTCTTGTTGGTGAAAATCAATACACCAGTTTACGCCACTACTAGCGACGGTGTGCTTTGTATCATTGGTTCCTTCCCAAACAGCAAATAAAACATTAATGCCCCTTTCCCCTACACCACATCCACTTTGACAACCTGATAACGCAAGTGTATATAAGGTAGCATGTTACTGTTGGGGTTAACTGTTGACTAGATAATTACTGCATTGTCACTGTTCTTGGGTCATTGGTGAAGTAAACACACAGGGGCGGCTTCTTCAGGGTAACAGGGTCCACTAATATATATAAAACGCTACAAGCACTGTATTATGTAATTTCCCATATACAAAAATAAATAAATAAATATATATCATTAATAAAACAATGCTGCCAATAAACATTCAAATAAAGGTCATGTATAATTTTACAAAAGCTGCCCAAACTTTAGTTCCAACCCCTGAGACAGAGGCAGAGAGATGGACCTGTGGCTGTCCCTTTTCAGCAATTTAGTGCAGAAAAGTGTAAAAACATGCATCACTAGCTGAATGGGCTGCAGAGTGCATCAGTGCTAACAAGGTCTAAGGGCCAAAGTGGTTAACTAGGAGTCTGTCCAACTGCCTTCCTCCCTCACCGTCATTCTGGCTCTCTTTCTGTCTTCTGCCTCCCCTGAATCACCTGGCTGCTCATACCTCCTTAATTCTTATCCTTTTTTTTGTCTTGTCAATCTCTATATCTGAACAATGTCCAACATGACAGATTTCGCTATCATCAAAGAAAGATTTTCCATTAATGGGCCCTGACCTTGTCTGACTACTGTACTTAAAAACCTTCTCTGCTGCTTGGCGCACTTTCCCCTAATCACTCCCCTCACTCCTTGACCCACCCTCCCTCCACACCCCCAACTTTCCATTTCACCTCGTCTCCTCACTATAATCTCCTGATTTTTTTTTTCTTCTCCTCCTCCATAAATTTTCTGCTCCTCTCACCTTACAAGAACCCCCCTCTGTTGTTTGTGGGGGCTTGCCTGATAGCCATTAGTGTTACACCCTATTACATCAGTAATGACTGACTGTGAGCTCTAATTAGAGATGTGTTAGGGAGAGCTGACTTGCCCCCCCTCCTCCTTCCCCTTCACCTCCCCTCCCTCCTCTTTCCTGCTTTTCCGCAGAGCTGTTACTGTGACTCCATCGCCGTGGCGACACCATTAGCACAGCACCTCTAAGAGTTGCAACTCCTGACTGTTAAAACCATTACGTTCATTACAGACCAATCAGAGGGGAAGGTGTTATGGCTAATTGATAAGCTGAACAATGCATAAAATCTTGTCTCTAATTGCCCTGCGGGAAAAGGAGAAAGTGCCCTGAGAGAAAGAGACAGTGAGAGAATGAAATGGAGAGAGAGAGTAGGGAAGCGACTGGCGTGCTAATTTCAAAATCTGATATTTTTCCACTCGAATAATTCAGGCTTACAATATGTCTTCATCCAAATATGCTGTAGATTTTCCCCCCCTTCTTGAATAATGGGATGTTTCTTCTGGGTTTGTCATCTGTGATAAGATGATTATCTGAAAGGTCTGTGGCACATTGTGAAGAGAGTCTCGCCTTCTCTGCTGGAGTAGGTAATCCTGGGTAATAGCATTATGGACACAGTGTTTTCCTAAAGCCCATGATTATCCACTGCTGTTTGCCGTGGGATTGACATTGGCCTCCCTGGTCTCTCTCTCTCTCTCTCCCTCTCTCCTTCTCTCTTTTTTTTTACTCTCTTTCTCACTTGTTCGTGTCATCCTGTCTCTGACTCACCACTCCATCAAGCCCTCATATGCTCTTCTCTTACAATTCTACCAAGAGAAGAAGATGAAAATAGAGCACATGGAGCAACAAAAGAACAAATTGCTTGTAGACAAGAGTGCCCCAGATTTGAATGGCATGTTATGTTCTCTCTGTCGAAAAATCGCACTTTGAGTTTGTCAGTTTGGGGTTACCATCCTGCTCTAGAACTCAATAGGTACACTGCATTAAGCCATTTACTAAAATATGTTAGTATGTCCAACGTGTGAGCCAGTTATTAACCAGCCATTTATATCTTTAAATATCCCCAACACTTCAACTTTAACTTTTTATATATAGCAATCTGTTTTTATTATATTTACTACAGTGTCAGTTTTTACATTTTGTTTGTATGCATTATATGTTCATATGCTGCTTTCAGCTTTCTGGTGAGCTAAATTTTCTATTTGGTTCCGACTTTGAAATAGGAATAAAAACACACCATATTACATGCTCTTTTTTTTTTTATTCAAGTGTGCACCTCATGTTTCACAGTACTGCATTGTGTCCACAAAAAGAGTAGTGTAAAATCATTGTTTAAAAGCAAATAAGATACCAATTAACAGTTTTTGTGGGCGTATTAATCCCTGGTCTTTTTATGAAGGTGTGTGTTGATACGTCTGTGAGTGTTGTGTTATGAAGATTTGTGGGTTGGAGAGAGACCATATGAACTGAGCTAAGACCTCTGCTTTCAGTTGATTGGCTCACTCTTCTCTCAAAGCTTTAAGGCCTTGACCTGACTCTCTCTCTCTCTCTCT